ATCTTCACACTACATAATAACGGTTCACAAAAATATTCGTACCAGATTTTAACAAAGGCAGTCTTGTTTAGTTTCCATTATCATTTCACATTGAGAATAGTTTCTATTAGGATAAGTCGTGAATCGTAAACGCGCTTGATAACGATATAAAACTAAATAGTACACTAATATAATATATATATAATGGAAAAAAACAAGAGCAATGGTGTGCAAATAAACTAGCAATAATTTACAAGGCAAATTTTTGAAAATACATATTTTCATAACATTTTTTACGCTGAATTTAAATTCGTAAAAATGAAATTTGTAAGCAAATGTTTTGCATAACAAAAAATTTTTCTTTTTGAAAAAGTTATCATAGCGTGAAATTCATACCTAACATTCTTTGTATCCACGTGAATAATATAAAACAAAAAAAAATAGTATAGTATTATAACTGTCTAAGGTTGCAAAAAAAAAACATACATGATAGGTATTATCACTATATGAGTTATTATCTCAAGTATGTATCCCGTTTCATTCGCACGCGAAGATTTTTATTAAAGATAGTATAACTATGGTTCAACATAACATAAATCAATGAGTCAAAAGTCAAAATACTGTAAATAAATTTAGAAATAAAATGCTATACTTATCGTAATCCGTTCTTTACACACACAATGTTTATAGTTTCTAGATTACACTCGTAATGTAAATCTTCTAGCCCATTAAATTTTCGAGGTATATTCAGACGAAAATTGTTCATTGCACAGGTCTGTGAAAGATAACAAACTTTTCTGGGTTCGTCCCGGACCTAATACCACGCGTTGGCTGCATATCGCACCTCTTATTTTAAAGAAATAAACATACCCTGTTTGAACTGTTTACCCCACTTTACCCTACATTCCCCTATTGTAAAAAAAATGTCAGCTTCAAAACTTTATTTTTGTGAAAATTATTACGTTTTTTGTATTGATATATTACCTAAAATGCACCTACTGAGTTCGTTGGACTTTCTTCTTCCTGGGAAGCTTGTCCTTTTGATAATTCTGCTGTTTAAATAATTTTCCTAGCACGTTCATAATGTTCTGAATTGATAGGATGCGGTTGTACTAAAAGTTTAAATTATTGTGTTGTTATAATTATCTTTCAGTTGAATATTATATTAATATTCCCTAAAGCTCTGATCCTACATCATCCCATCAATCATCATCCTACATAAATTCCCATTAGTAAACTGTGCATTTGTATGTAAAATCATGGTGAACAAACTTACACAATTTCGAAAACATCGGAATTTTCGGTTTGCCAAACTTGCTTTGTAAGCAGTAAATGTGTTTACATTACATTCTGTATAATCCTTACTTTCCTCTGCAGAGAGTTGTCGAATGACCATGAAGCATATTGAGTTTATATAAACACTTAATCAAAAATAAAATTCTGATCGTCGATAATGATTACTTGTAACTAATATATAATTCTGGTTATCCGTAATGGTTATTCATAATCAAAAACCGTTTCGATCAATGATTATAGATCTTTTTTGTAACGAATTAATAAACTCGTCATGAATAATTATTATTTGTAACCAAAAACTACTTACGTCATTTATAATGGTTATCAACAACCACGACACATAAAAATTTATTTTTTCTAATCATTCCATTTTTTTAAATTTCCTTCCAAAGTTAACAATGACAATCCTTTATGTGAATAAAAATGAATTTTCCATCGCTGATTTTTTCTAAAAAATTTTTGACGTAACTGTTATTTTTGGCCTCTGATTTCATTTTATTTACAATATTGTGCAAAAATTGTTGTACACACTGCCTAGTAAACTAGTCCTACCATTCCAAATAAATTCAAATTATGAACCGTAACAAAATTATTGTGTTTCAAATGATGTTCGAATATTATCGTTACTCCGTGCAAATCAAAGTATTACGAAAGTTATACTTCTCTTCTTCTTCTAGATTGCTCTCTATTGGGATTATGGAATGAAAAATGAATATGATTTTAATTCTTTGCTTAAAAGGACTTTATTTTATTCCTTTATTGAGAGAAGGTATATGGGCGAAAACGATCGAGCGACCAAACTCTACTTAGAGTCCGGTAAGAAAAAACGCTTCTTTTATACCCTTTTTGGGTTCGTCTTATCCACTAATCAGAGACGTTTTATTTGTCGCGTTTCACATTGTATACGTGACGCTGGGACCCCCAAACAGTCAGGGTACGATGTATATCTAATGGTACCGGTGATGATGTATCGCGGTATCTACTATATACAGTTTACATCACCGTCGTTGCCCGCTGACGGAACCGGCGAAAATGTAAACCGATATCTTAGTATCTTAGTACTAAGTAAACTATAGATTAATTTTTGTTCGAGGCTAAAATTTCAACACTCTCTTTTTGGCCAATAGCGTGGTTGACGAAGTCAGGGTGACTCCAGGAATGGCTAAAATGTTTCCCACCGAGCTGTACCCAAAAGATTCCACGAAATATACATATATGTACGTTTGTCGTTAAAACGATGAAAAATCGACCAGCGTGTGTCGTCGGTGGTCGTCGAGCCGCGTGTTTTGCGCGTATAGAGACGGCTGTGAATGGCTCGCGTATCGTGGGGCTCGGTTATCTGGATCATCTGGAGTATCTAGAACATATTGATCGCGGCTAAGTAGTTGTGCCGCGCCGTGAGCAAGCAGTAACGTTGGGGCGTCCGCACGGAAAGCACACGTGTTTCATGCTTCCGCGACCGCGACTGAAACATCGGGGCCCGCTTTTGTCAGTGCCGTGGCATCAACGACGGGAAAACTTGAGGGAAAGTGCAAAGCCCCGGCGACCTAACCCGATCGTAGCGATTTCCTCGGGTTCAAAGTGATCTCGAATGCGAGCGCCTCGCCGCGCCGCGCCGCGCGCTGCGACCTCGGTCACATTTTTTTCCTCTTTGTCTGTCGCCGTCGCCGTCGCTGCCGACGTGGAAAACCGACGGATTCTTGCTGTCAGTGGCGAAACGGACCCGGAAGAGGTCACTCGCTCGTTTCGGTAGCGTGTTTCGTGTTTGACAACAGGTCGCGACGCGATAAGTGAATTACGAAATTCTGTGCAAGAGCCGTCTACGAGTTCTGTTCGTTATCGCGAGGCTAATGTGATGCTACAGTTTTGTCGGTGAACACTGATTAGCCACTCTACCGTCGTATTGTCATCGGAGTGTTGAATTTGAACCCTTCTCGAGCACGCATTAAAAAGTCCCCGAAGAACGCGTTGCGACTCGTTTTCTTTTCTTCTATTGATACCTGCTGGTTCAGAAACGAGGTTTGCGAAATGCAATCGCAGATCAGAGGTGCCGGATAAACAGTTTCTTGCTAGCTAGAACACTGCGTAGGTATTGCTAATTCGGACTCGTGGCAGTTCGTTTGTTGCACACTCAAAGTAACTGTTATTTTATTTTTATAGATAAAAATAACAAAAATATGTTTATGCAGATTTTTCGAGACTTTTATCGTAATGTATGGCCGTGCAAACGGATTCATTGAATTAAGTCGCCGTTAATCTATCTCTACAATCACAACAATTGCAAACTAAACAATTTAGAACCCATCAATTTGACGGGCTCGTAAGTGCATGTAAACCTACTGCTAATGAGATCGAAATTAGAAAGTTAAAATATACTACAGGAAATATTAGCTTAATTCTTTTATATTCTAGACATCTTAGTAACATTCAGTTCGCTCAATATGTTACGATTAAAGTGAATTTCAAACATAATTATAAATTAGTATCGTCCATACGTATGTGCACTTAACGTGTTAAATTGTTTGTAATTTCAAATCGTTCTGTTTCGGTGCTTGTACAATTGATAGGTGCTTCAGAAATAGTGATGNAATCAGAGACGTTTTATTTGTCGCGTTTCACATTGTATACGTGACGCTGGGACCCCCAAACAGTCAGGGTACGATGTATATCTAATGGTACCGGTGATGATGTATCGCGGTATCTACTATATACAGTTTACATCACCGTCGTTGCCCGCTGACGGAACCGGCGAAAATGTAAACCGATATCTTAGTATCTTAGTACTAAGTAAACTATAGATTAATTTTTGTTCGAGGCTAAAATTTCAACACTCTCTTTTTGGCCAATAGCGTGGTTGACGAAGTCAGGGTGACTCCAGGAATGGCTAAAATGTTTCCCACCGAGCTGTACCCAAAAGATTCCACGAAATATACATATATGTACGTTTGTCGTTAAAACGATGAAAAATCGACCAGCGTGTGTCGTCGGTGGTCGTCGAGCCGCGTGTTTTGCGCGTATAGAGACGGCTGTGAATGGCTCGCGTATCGTGGGGCTCGGTTATCTGGATCATCTGGAGTATCTAGAACATATTGATCGCGGCTAAGTAGTTGTGCCGCGCCGTGAGCAAGCAGTAACGTTGGGGCGTCCGCACGGAAAGCACACGTGTTTCATGCTTCCGCGACCGCGACTGAAACATCGGGGCCCGCTTTTGTCAGTGCCGTGGCATCAACGACGGGAAAACTTGAGGGAAAGTGCAAAGCCCCGGCGACCTAACCCGATCGTAGCGATTTCCTCGGGTTCAAAGTGATCTCGAATGCGAGCGCCTCGCCGCGCCGCGCCGCGCGCTGCGACCTCGGTCACATTTTTTTCCTCTTTGTCTGTCGCCGTCGCCGTCGCTGCCGACGTGGAAAACCGACGGATTCTTGCTGTCAGTGGCGAAACGGACCCGGAAGAGGTCACTCGCTCGTTTCGGTAGCGTGTTTCGTGTTTGACAACAGGTCGCGACGCGATAAGTGAATTACGAAATTCTGTGCAAGAGCCGTCTACGAGTTCTGTTCGTTATCGCGAGGCTAATGTGATGCTACAGTTTTGTCGGTGAACACTGATTAGCCACTCTACCGTCGTATTGTCATCGGAGTGTTGAATTTGAACCCTTCTCGAGCACGCATTAAAAAGTCCCCGAAGAACGCGTTGCGACTCGTTTTCTTTTCTTCTATTGATACCTGCTGGTTCAGAAACGAGGTTTGCGAAATGCAATCGCAGATCAGAGGTGCCGGATAAACAGTTTCTTGCTAGCTAGAACACTGCGTAGGTATTGCTAATTCGGACTCGTGGCAGTTCGTTTGTTGCACACTCAAAGTAACTGTTATTTTATTTTTATAGATAAAAATAACAAAAATATGTTTATGCAGATTTTTCGAGACTTTTATCGTAATGTATGGCCGTGCAAACGGATTCATTGAATTAAGTCGCCGTTAATCTATCTCTACAATCACAACAATTGCAAACTAAACAATTTAGAACCCATCAATTTGACGGGCTCGTAAGTGCATGTAAACCTACTGCTAATGAGATCGAAATTAGAAAGTTAAAATATACTACAGGAAATATTAGCTTAATTCTTTTATATTCTAGACATCTTAGTAACATTCAGTTCGCTCAATATGTTACGATTAAAGTGAATTTCAAACATAATTATAAATTAGTATCGTCCATACGTATGTGCACTTAACGTGTTAAATTGTTTGTAATTTCAAATCGTTCTGTTTCGGTGCTTGTACAATTGATAGGTGCTTCAGAAATAGTGATGCACAGTTCGCCCTCGAACAACGCGGGGGTAGGTTCTCCAACTAGCTGCATACTAATTGAAAATCCGCGTACAATATTGTGTGTACGTAATTTGCTTTATAGTTTTTTTTATATATAAATAGATGGTTACATACACTGCTTATATTAATATACATAAATTTAATATACGTAAATTTAATATACATAAATTTAATATATAGAAGATTAATATAATAATAATATAGAAGATTACTCGATTATCACTTTGAAGCCGTGACAACATCGACGATCGCTTTTTCGACGACAACATCAAAGGTCGCGAAAAAACGCGTTGCTTAAAACCCGATTGTTTAAGGACGAACTGTATTTTTATCGAAAACTGAATCTACTATTTTGACATTGTTGGAATTATAAAGACCTTATTTAATGTCGTATCGACCACTGGTGTAGGTTATTACGTCCTTATCGGACGTATGTCGAGTCCCACGTGACATTATACATTAGGCCTGAATATTTGACGTCCGATAAGGGTTAGAAGGTTTTACACTTAACATTAATCCTTTTCTAAATAAATTCTGTTTTGTCATCCTTCTAAATCAACAGATGTCAGTCAATTTTAATACTCAGTCGATTTAATTTTAATACGCGGAATTTGCTGTTGTGAACACTTATTCGTCGAATCTCTTTTAAAATACTACTGTATTTTACTGACTGAGTATTAAATTTAACTGACGTCTATTGATTTATAAGGATGACAAGACAGAATTTATATATCTAACCCTTCCGCCATTATTTCTATAATGAAAAGTATTTCATTAATTGCTAATCAGTCTCTGCTCCTATCATTAACAAATCATAGATGTATTCCATTATCATTGGATAACGGATTTGATGTATTTGTGATTAATATAAACAAATCACTAGAAAATATTTCAAGAAAATCAAAAAACTGTTGCATTAATTTCAATTCGTTTGAAATGATTAAGGGCGGAAATCAATGTTTATGTATGTTCTGTATGTCGTTATCACTGGAATCTTTAATCTAAATTAATCCTATTTTTGGATTATTTTCACTCCTTTGAAAATAAAGTTAACCCTTTTGAAGATCTTATTCGCATTTTTGAAAATTAAATTGGATCACTCTTTTACAAAATAAATTTACATATTTGTAATCATTTATATTAAAAGTCATATTTGATTTAAAAACAGATGAAGGTGAGAAATTGGATCGGATGTCGAGAAAAGACGTGCAAGTCAACATACTTCACACATAGTCAATATTTTCGACATTGCATAATGTGCATACAGGGTGATTCCTGATGATGACAAAGCGGTATTTAAATGGTTTCGAAGCGTGCATCCATAGTAACAAAGAATCCTTCTACCAAGATAATTTTAATGATTTTTTTTCAAAGTAAACAACAACATTATGCTATGAAAAATAAACATTAATGTTCAATACAAAGATCGATGACTTAAAAAAAAAGCATTAAAATGACCTTGGTAGAACGATTCTTTGTTACCATCATATGCACGCTTCGAAACCATTTGTCATTTTCTACTGCCTTTCGTAATAACGGAAATAACTTAGGTGTTCTATTTAAGTGAATCACTTGTACAAGTTTACAAGTTAAGTTTTGTTTCTTTTCTGTTAGTTAAAAGTGTTTTATTTTAGTTGCCATATAATATCTGAAAGTTGTCGAGTATAGTCTTGTTTCATGTGACTTTTTGTGACATAAAATTACATTGAAGCTATTGAAACTGAACGATATAAAATGTGAAATTGTAAAGAAGCATTCAATTAAAATTTATCTCCAGCTGTTATCTGTCCATGGTCAGATAGGAAACAGAGCAATACCGTGAACCGAATGCTTGTCTTTATCGTTGGAAAAATATACGTAGCCTTATATAATAGGTATGCACTGATACTCCGTTTGTAAGCCATGGTGGAAACATGCGTTTCATATTACGACGGCTTACTTATTGTTAAAAATGCCAATGTGCACTACGACTGATAACATATAGTGGTTTGTTGTTCGATGTTTTCTAGAATCATGTTAATGCAAACAAAACAACTCGAGTTCGATTATTCGGTTATGGTTCGTTCTTATTATTATCTCTTAAACATTTACTGGAATTGCATTTATCAAAACAAAATTGCTGCAGAAGAGTTCAATTATTAAGACATAATTTGTTGTTGTTTCTATTGTTGAACGATTCGTGTTGATGAAAACAAAACGAATAAAGTTCAATCATCTTAGTATAGTTTAGTCCACTTAGTATAGTCCACTCATTAAGATATAGTCTAATATCATTTCTCTTGTTGAACATTTACTGAAATTATATTAATCAAAAGAAAACAATTATAAAGTTTAAATATTAAATAAAAGACATTCGCCGCTTTTAGCGTATGTTATCGGTTATTATCTTTATCGTATTGTTTTTTGGTAGTCGTACAAATTGACTATATGATCTTGCAAGCAGTTTTAGCGACCAGGCAAAATTACTTGAACGAGGAATACTTTCTTGGATGATTTTTCGTTGCAGACAATAGATTATTTCACTCGGTTTGTTATTTTATATTCGATACACTATATTTCAAATACACATTTTAACATGTTTCGTTCTATTTACGTTGAACATTCACTAAAGTCTCAGGTATAACACGCAGTTTTCTAATAGTACTTTGAAAGTTAGAGATCAACAATTAAGAATTTCTAAAACATTGTTCAAAAGAGTCAACAATTCATGTAAAATCGAACCAATTATGTATTTGAATTAATATAACGTAGCAAATTGTTATTTAAAGGAAAATCATCGTTCTTGCTTTTAGATACGCGCAGTAATTAAAAGTTGTATTGATAAACTTTCGGTAAACAAACTGTAGGTTCATACTAGACAAATAAAACTGTTTTCCATAGACGCAGAAGAAAGTCGATTAATCACGTCGCAAAAATACACAATTCCAATCTGTATTACGTGTTTTCAATACACGTAATCAAATACGCATAATTATTTCAATTTTAATTTTCATTATCATAAACATGCAGTGACAATGGATTCGGAATAGTGTTATTTTTAATTTATCTCTGTCTTTCAATTGGAACCATTGTTTTTTAAACTGTTATACACCCACATTCGTATAAGTACCGAAACAAAATGAACAATGTCACGTTAATTGCACATTATTTTCAGTGAAAATATCTTTTACCGTCATCGTTTAAATTCGAGTCAAGTTGTTTATAAAAGCAATCATTTCATTAATCGAAGGACAAAAAAAATACTTCGTGGATCGTCCGATGTTGTATAGTGAGTGGTACCATTTCCCAAACAGTTGGTCAATATTCATAATTTCATACGATTTTTATGAAAATTGGCGCTCGTATGTTTTCGGGGTAAACACCGTCATCTGATGTGGATATAAAATAAATATTTTTTCAAAAAATTTTTAATGTAGATTAAACTTACTATTTATTAATTAACAAAATATATATTTATTAAATAATATAGAAATAATAGAAAAATAGTTCTTGCCTCCTGCATTCACTCTCTCCCTCACACGCTTTCGGATACAGCACTTCGTATACACGCTTCTCACCGTTCTCCATTTAACCTCTCATTCGCACATTCATATTTCCAAACTAACCTGCACCATACTACCAACCTATTATTCTTTTTCACACCATTCTCACACCATATCACACGCTTACTTTAGGACCTATAAACCAATTCTCGCACCTTCGACTTATTTTTTGCAAATATCAATAATTTTCCGATATTTGGCTACGATTATATAATTGGAATATAAAATTTAATATGATAATCACAATTTCGACATCTTTAACCCTTTGTACTCGAGTGATGTGATTCTAAGGCGTTCATTCATTGATCTTGTTGTGATCTACAAAACGATTAAAGAAGGAAATTTTTAAATTTTCGAATGTCATCTCATTTCGATGTTTGTAGCTTACATAAAAAATATTGAGACTAAAAACTATCTTCTATCATTCCTAGTAACTGTAATTTCTTTTAAAATTTTTCAGACAATATTTAGTAAACTAGTTCTCCTATCATCTCAAAAACCTTAAAATTATTTAGTATAACGTAAAATAGCTGCTACTTGTTGCCATATATTTCGAAAATTGCATTTTGACCAGCTTTTTGGGAATAGGTACCACTGTGTATCGTGAGAAGCCGATCGTCATGTAGCCGATTATCGATATACCCAATTAAGATCAAGAGAGAAGAATTAGCTGTAATTAATCATCAGTGTTATCGAGAAAGCGCGTGCTCTTGTCGTGTCTGGGAACAAAGTTATTCGATCCTAGAAATATGGTGCGAGACGGTGCGTTGGCTCTGTTTGCGCTTCTTAATCAGTTCAATTGAATAACGTATTAATACGTTGGGGTCATCGCGAGGGGTTAATCGCAATGTCCACGCCGGACACGATGGACATCATTGATGAAGCGGAGCAGGCGTGGCGTGAGTATTTTTACAATCTTCTCAGTGCCATTTATTTTCAGAACTCTCTTCAGCTAGTTTCCTTACACTCTTAATACTGTGAAGACAAACGAATAGTTGACCTCTCAGCGCTGACTAAAATAGAAAAGTATAGTAGAAGAAATGTCGACATTTTAATACCATTTCTGTGACGTTTCGGTGACCATTTCTTTGTAGATCACACACGTGTAGTGTTTAGTGTAGTTCTAAAAAAGTTATTGCGCTTTTAAAAGTTGTCCGACGACTTTTGTTCACAAGTAAGTGTGAACAGATGCAAATAATTTGTCCCATTATGAAAAGATATCAAATGTTTATAAGCATGCTGGCAATCATTATTCACCCAGAATGTAACTGACCAGAGGTGTGCGGCACATGATGACCTGATTAAACGACGACTTACCACGTTTCTGTTGACACAAGTGCTTTCGATTGCACATCGTTGGATTCGCATTCTATTTAAAGAAACTATCATGACCTAGAAAAACCCGTCATTTTTCAGCCAACTGTTTAGATCATGGTGTGCTCTCTTCCGTACCAAACAATTTTCGTTAAAACTTTTTCTCACCACCTTTCGTAGTTTCTGAGATATTCTGAATTTTCATATAAAACAAACACCCTATATAAGCTTCCTCCTGGTTGAATAACGCAAATATTCATGTAATTACCTAATTTTTCTACTTGAAAACTTCTTAACGCCACATAAACATATTGGATATAATTTTACTGTCACGCACGATCCGATCTCGCGCTGTTATCCGTCAAAATATCGATTTGCTGACAATAATAAGTTGCTCATAACTCTCATCGGAGATGGAAAGGCTAGTTTCTAATGTGTATATATATACTAACATTGGATAATTTCGATGATATTTTAATATGTGGAGAAGGGTATCATTCGAAACAACTTTCTCCTTAGGCATAATTAACGGAAAGCCTTAATTTCTAAAAAACTATTGCCACTACCTGTAGTATACCTGGGTATACCTATGTGATTATATTGCTAAAATGCAAAGTACATAGTTACATTCTAGTAAACAGTCTACGCATAAGTAATAGTAAATTCATATAGTTTTAGCAGGTTTTTCAGAAATCTATAACTCTATTCTTTAAGTCGACGACAATTATTTTGACTCGGCAATGAGGAGGTTCGCTTATACAAATCCAAGGTGTCGAAATAACTTTTGTTAGACAATAATTGAACATGATTCCGACTTATGTATTAACATAAATAAATCATCTGAGGTCTTTTGAGGACCTCAGAAATCCTTCATTTCCCGATTGCGAATGATTTTTGGGACACTTTGTAGTCTACTGTAGTCTTTCTGAGAAGTCACTGCAAACAATTCTGTATTTTGGAGAAACCACCAGATTTCATTATACTGCAAAATACCAGAACCCCGCAGATCTTTAATTCAGACTTCCGTTTCATCGATCCACTAAGTTTAGACATTCAATGAACAGTATCATTCGGTGCAGTCCCCGCCAGCATCCAACCTAGGGTAGTTTCCGAACCGTGAGACCGTTAACAAGGGGTGTAAACGTTTCTCCTGTCGCGCCAAGTTATTTGACTCCCCTATTATGGCGTGCCAGTTTGGCGCCTATACCTCGCCGTTTGACGATTTCGTGAATTCAAACACAATTCCGAAATATTCTCTCTCACAAATCGAACGAGAGGAAAGAGAACAATTCTCCAAAATACGTTACGATATTACTGGCTCACATATACCGACAGTCGAAACGTTAACAGTTTCGAATAAAAATTAGTACATAGTTTCGAAAAAATTACGATACTAAATGTTGATTGATTGATAAAAGATTGTTTTATTAAATAAAAAACAAAATCATTGCAATTCTTTTTATATAACTGTGTATTATTTATGTACAAATCGATTCATCACTGTATTTCCTTTAAAAAATTATTAACGTACTTAAGTCGAGAATTTTTAGTTGAATATGCTACTATTTTGTTCCACTGTATTTCCATAAAAATTCTGTTTTTCAAATTAAATTGTTTAGGTCAATGAATTGTTTCATTTGTATATGTTTATTGTATTTTGCAAATTTGTATAGAAACAAGACCTTGGTTGTCATGTTAAGTAAATAAAAATTACATTGAGATTGGTGAGGTGTCACCTTTAATACATTATTACCAAAAGTTTCATACTTGAGCGGTCACGAGAGAAAATTCTGATCCGGGTACTCGAATACTCACACCCCCATGCTCGATACTTTGAATACTCTGAGTATCTGGGCACCTATATTGTACGTGTTCTAGTATAATCAAGACTCGTTGAAACGAAACACAGGCTTTCCAGATTCGTAAAAAGAGGCGTAAAGTAGAACGTAACTCTATTCTTACGTCGCACAATGCGAACTGATTCCCACGCATCTGTGCTAGGTGAGATCTACGAAAATACTTAGCATGTTGCTCACGCAGAATCATTCGAAATATATGTACTGTTATAAGATTTTGTGATATTGCGGAGGTTTCTCGTCCTTCGCGCCGGTGAACACGTTTATTTATTAACCATTGGACAGCGAAAATTTTTTAGTATTTATGGCTGCCACGGCCAGATTCATTCAAATCTTTACAATTAATTTTCATTTGTATATTATTAAAACCTCTTTGTTGACACCACAGTTAATCCTTTTATTAGTTTCAATATTAACAGTTAATAATTACAGATGACTGCAACAAAATTAGAATTTAGTCCATTTAAAAATGGACGTTTCGTTGCTTTTCAACTAAATTGACGGCCCTAAATGTACAATAGGATGTCCTTATTTGTTGACTTCCGATTTTTGTTGGTCTTGGCTTGTGTTGGTTGGGTTTGGATTATTTCTCAAATAATCTGTACAACGTTTTATTTTTTTTACTAAAACTTTTATTTTAACTTTTATCTTAAGGAAAGTATACATGTTAGGTAAAGAACTATGTACGTTATGCACAGACGACTGAGCGACCAAAATCAACTAAATAGACCGCGACTGAATATCGCTCGTTTATATACCCTTTTAGTGTGGTCTTCTCCGCCAATCAAAGACGGTCATTCATCGTGTTTTACATTGTATGCTACCGCCGATGTGCTCCGACGACACCGGCGATAATGTATCGCGGTATTTATAAGTTACAGTTTATGTTACCGCCGGTGTGATATTTTCGAACCTCAGTCCCAAGTGAACCGTAGATAAATTTTTGTCAGAGGCTAAAGTTACTTTTTTCAACAATAAGTTTCAACGATTTCATTTCATCTTCAAACATAATGGTGCTTCTTCATTTAAAAGAAACCGTCAAATGTTTTTGACTAAACCTTTAAAATTACGTATTATTAAATGCAGTTTATGTTGCACAATCTGACAAAGTTACATTGTATATACTTACTTTTTCCGTTACTCCAAGTACAATAGCAGAATTAAAAGAAAGAATTTTGGTCATTGTCTAATAGTCCTCCTATCATCTAAACAAAAAAATTCAATTGATTTAATCCAGGTTGACAAAAGTTATTGCGTTTTAAGAGCTATCCGAATATTAACCTTGGACGGTGAATTTTTATACAGCTATGAGGGATCTTGGCAGAATCGATGTCTCACTGGTTTTTGGCAAATGAAGAACGGACTCGCTTTGAACAACCGTTGTTTTTGTGTGGTTTCTTGCGAGTTGTATTTATTATATTTAGTTAAGTGTTATGTGTTAAAAATTTGTAATAAGTGTATTGCTTTCCTTAATTAAATATTACATTAATATGCCATAAAACTCTGATCCTACATTTATTTAACAATTTTTTACAATTTTTTCGAAGATACTACTTGTAAAACCATTAGTCTTCTTATTGTTCTCGGTGTAACAGCTACGTATTTATTTTAATCAATTGAAATTGTGCGATTAAATGACGATAAATGACGATTTGAATAGGGTGTGCCAAAATAGACCGCGGCTTCCGCAGTCGGAAGGTTAGTGGGAGTCACTGTATAATATAGGTTAATACTTCTTTTATAGGGAATGTCGAGTTGCATCGATCAGGGCATTAACAAATATTTGACCTTTACACGCCCACTTACTGGCAGAATTCGCGCAGTATAGTATATACATATCACATTGAACAACAACACGAACGAGTGCAAACGATATCGAAGGCAACGTAGTTACAAACTACAATACGATACATCATTTGCATAGTAGCATACACATCGATTATACAATAATATTATAACATACTTCTGCTCACACATGCAAACAAACTAATAACATCGTAATATGTCTCCCTCGAAGTCATTGAAAAATCATGTATCATGTTTATACTTTTTATCGTTTTCATTATTAAACATACTTCATTGTGTAGCGCAAATTTGTCAAATCACATGAATTTAAAAATGCTGAATTTTATTGTTCTGTCACATGAACTTAAAAAAGCAAAATTTACAAATGAATAATTTTAGAATATGAAATCAGTATGTTGTGTTTAAGGTGAAATGTTAGTATTTTGCAAATTGTTGCTGGAGTAAACGAACGCAGTTATTGCCTACTTCACGAACAAATACATTGCTAATAGGTGGTGATTGTTAGGAATTTCAGCTTGTGCGAAATTATATATAATGTTTGTCGGTATTTCATATGCTCGAGAATGATCGAGAACTTTATATTTTACAGACGAGATGCTGGAGTGCGAGACCGGATCATTATTGGGTCGCGTCGCAGACCTCGAGAGGCAATCCTTGGCGCAGAGGGACGAGATAGTTTGTCTCCGCGCTACGCTAGCGGACGCGCTTAGGCGAATCGCTCAATTGGAAGGACGCGAGAAAAGAGAAGATGAAAGAAACGATAGGAGAAACGACAGGATGATGTCCTCGCCTTTACGGAACGGACATGTACCAGTTAGAAGTAAGTATCTTCTTAGCTGAAGCTTCATCAGCGCTTACATTTCCATCTGCAGATGAGCACGGTTAAATTTACATCGATTCGATAGACAACGTAAATTCTCGCGTAGTAGACACATTTCCTTCCAAGAACTAACTAGATCACGGCTGAACAATGCATTGTGGACTTTCTTGTCCACTGGTTCTCCAGCGATGGTCCGGAACAGGGTTGCCAGAATTTGTAATGTTTGCGTTCATTTGTTTTATGTTTGTGTTTACATGCGAGGCCATGGTGTTATGTATCGCCAAATTATTTATAATATATAACATATATATTTAACTATAAAGTTAAAATTATCTTGTTTTTTTATTGGAAATCAATCTGTTTTTAAATTTAAACAATTGCAATTTCTTATCGGTTAAATACTAATTAACTTTGATAAGAAATATTTTTTGTCAGACCATTGGAAGAGGTTGAAAAATCGTGGCGACTAATTTGTGACTTACCTTGTACATATACATACATATACAGATTATCCTAGAAGTTACTCAAAATCGGGAAATGAGGGGATCCTGAAGTCATTTAAAGTAATTTTTTCCTTAGCGCAAATGCAATCCGTGGCTTCATTTACGAATTATTAACGAAATGAGTTCCACTCATTAATTTGGCCGCCTCATGCGAGCCGAGCTCGCCCATCATTGGTCACTGTTTTTCGTTAAATAACTCGTAATGAAAGCCGCGAATTGCATTTGCGCTAAAAAAAAAAAATTACTTCAAATAACTACAGAAACCCCTCATTTCCCAATTTTGAGAAACTTTCGGAACACCCTGTATACAGTAAGTTCTCTCAGATTGTCCCTCAGCTTGGGAACGAAAGTGGTCAACTTGGGAAGAGGAGAACGATTATTCGAGCCTTGTGGCTCGTTTTTATAGTTATTGACAATCGGCAACTATAAAAACGAGCCGCGAGTGCATGTCAGTTCATTTTTCCTTTCTTTTTCAAAATTTCTTGTTGAATAACACGCAGTCTTAAGATTTTGAATACTCTCTTGAGATAATATGCGATGTATACAATGTATAAAGCCAACGTTTCGTACACTTAAATATAAACAATTACGAAATGTCTCGAGTGTCTTATTATTTTGTCCAACATTGCATTGCAATATATACTTGCTCAGAAGAAGTCCGCCTTACAGTACAGAATAAGAGGGGTACATATTTCATTCGATCTGCCTGACATATCCCACTCTCTATGATAGCACGGAAACGACTCGTATTGCATGTACCATTTGGTCGATCACGGGGGAACGAGACGCTGTAACGATAGTCAGGAGATATAGCCCTCGACATCGCAGTCTTGTGTGCACTTAAGACTAATAGAAAGGGATCATTTCTACCAATAAGAGAAACATGTTTACCGTACTTTTGCGATATCGTCAGAATCGGTACTACACTTTGCTCAGCGGACTTTTTCTGAGCAAGACGCAGTATAGGGGAAAGTTGTTCAGAGTATTGACCTTAAGAACATATTTTAATATCAAGGGCATCGGAAGTAGGTACCCTTTGGCCTTCATTTGCCCAACATTTGTCCCCTTAAACCAAACGCTTTTGTCCTCTGGCACCTTTTTCTGTCATCAAGAATTAGCCAGATATTTAAAATGCTCAAGTTAGATGAGATACCCTATGTAGTCCTTATTCGTGAACCAACTACGCTTTGACCTTGGCTGCATTCGTCTGCAGCAATTAGTTGGCTGAAATGAACCATAGAACTAGAAAGAGCGATATAAATTTTCTGGACACGAACGATTGCGTTATACCACGAAATTCCAAAGTTTGGAAGGAAGCGTGACTGCAGCCGTCAAGAGGATTTCAAGGATTTCTATTGGCATGTGTAACGGATGGAATAATTAGAATTCGGAATCAGGGGATTCCATTGCCTACTCCGTTGCACTTCTTTTCAAGAAGTGGCGAAAAATTCAATTTTCAAAGAAGTTAGGTTACAGATTAGGTTTCATTTATTGCTTTGAGGTCGTAGGCTTATTACAATCTTTGGTATAAATATTGCATCTCACAACTATAAAACCATCTATAAATGTTTAGTTTCAATACATTTTTAAAAGAGCATAATTTGACTGATTGCAATTTTAACATTTAAAAATCTTAGAAGACTGTAAAAGAGGTATAATCAGACACAAACATTGGAGGGGATTATCCGCTTGCCTTTAGATATTAGAGTTCTGATTTGCATAATATGCTTCCAAGAATTATATAATTTGCCTTTTCTACTAACTCATCAGCTATTTTCCCAGTTGCCAAGTATATACAGATCCTATTGGATATTCTTGGTATAAATCTTATATTTGTGGGCTTGGTCAGTTTTATTAATTCCTTGGTATAATCATTTATAGTATATCCTCCGACTGCCTCTAAAATTATGGTCTGGTCCTTCTTCGGGAAATACTGGTTCTCAGTAGCTGAAGTATAATCCACACGCTGGCTTATTTTGCTGTGGTTCTTGAGGGGTTGGTTATCATTAACTATATTACTTTTAACTCTGATATATTCCGCAAGTTTAATAATTTAGGGAACTCTTTGGTTGATCAATGTATAATTCTAATGGTGAATTTGTATTATCTGACTCGAAGTAAATTGTCGAATTTAAAATCTAAAATAAATCTCGAATTTCTCTGTGTCTCGCTTCTCTAAATTTTTTTATAAGATGTTGAATTTGATTAGAAAATAGTGTAAATAAATAATAATAATAATAATAATAATATAATAATAATAACAATAGTATAAATAAAAAATAATAGTATCTGAAAAAGTGACTTTCCAGGCGAAAATTTCAAAATTTTATGGTTGATGAGAGTCGTTACGCAGTTGTCTCATTGAGCTAAATTTTTGCATATATCGTTTTCTTGTAAACTAAACTTTTAGAAAGCTGAAAAATAAGGGCCACCCTAATGTATATAAATGAAAAAATTGATAAGCAACAATGAGTTTGTAGTTGTTTGAATAGTAAACTATTTAGGCGCCATTTCACTTTTGTTTTCAGCTGATTTAATAGTGGGCGTGCACATACTTTCGTGTCGTGTTGCATATAGGAGGAAACCTTGCAAGGTTGAAGCGATTTCATGGAATGTTCATCGAGCGTGCCTGTCAGCACGCAACTGTTTAGGGTCGCGTCCCATATCCATTGTCTTTCACCGTGCAATCGATGCATCTGAATTTGATTTCAAGTCTTACTTTTTAACAACTTTTAACTTTTTACTGAATTAATATTGTAATGATCATAGCAATTGTCAAAAAGTGATTACATAAAAAACACAGAACAAAAAACATAGAAAATAATTTTTATTAAAAATTATTAAAATGCTTCCTTTAACACGTTCGGTAAAAATAGTGTTAAATAGTGTTATGTCGCCACGACACAACACGAGATTTTCCCAAGAAATGTAAGGGTTCTTGTTCTGATCGGAGAATTTACCAAGACTCGTTCTGGATTAAACTTTCTTTATTTTAGTCATTATTTCTGAACGTGTTGATGATTTGAATAGATGTGAGGATTGGTATCTCGTTAGACGCACGTTTTGAAGGAAACTGTACTGGGAAATAGTACTCTGCGCTTAGGGAAAGAAAAGCCCTAAGCGCAGAGCCCTTCAAAACCTGCACCAGTACAGTTTCCTTCAAAACGTGCGTCTAACGAGATACCAATTCTCACATGTATTATCTTTTAACATTAATAATAATAACTCATGTAACAACAT